CGACTCGAATTTATCAACTGCACTGAATAAGAACTTGACAAAAGTCATACCCTATTAATTATTGCTCGAATAGTGCTAATTTTTTTAACCTGTAGATGGGTTATTCGGCACGGTTGGTGTTAAATTAGCATAATTATCTAGTCTTCAACGGAACAGTCAACAAGAAATTGATAGGCAAACTCTTCCAGCAAACATTGCTTCAAACTATTCAAAAATTTGCGCATTTTTTCCCCCAACAATGCGCCAACGATTCCTTCGAATTTTTATTTGAAACTTTCTTTCTCTTTTCACTTCTTCGAATTTCCAGCTTTTTCTCAAACCTCTTCTTGAATCTTTCCTGCAAAATTTGTTCCAAATTTCTTTATCAAACTTTTTAAGAATTTCTTTACGAAACTCCTCCTTGAAACTTCATTTCCAAACATCAAGCTGATTAATTTCATGAATAAAATTTTTCGTATATTTTGCGCTTACTGATTTCCTTTTCCGATTTTTACTTCCTTTTTAAGCTGGCTTTTCCTTATTCGCCTCGATAATCATTCTTACTTTTTATGCAACCGACTCGCTGATTTTCAACAGGTTCCATATTTCCTTGACGGGGGTATGGGAGGGGGGGGGAACATGGGGATGGAATGTATGCGGAACAATCTGGTTAGGGAAGGAGGGGGGGGGTCAAGGAGAGGGAGGGTTGGGGACTACGTCTCCCGTCAACACAGCTTTAAGAAACCGCCACCTAGATTGACCTCCGCCACCTACGCCGCCAACCCCGCTGCCCTTGCCGTCAATCATGGAAACCACCACCACCACCACCACCACAATCATCACCACCATACTTGTCATAGTCATGCTTGTTACCGTATCGCCAAATTTGTTATCACATGATTTCACGTATCGTCAATGCTGGAAAAATATCGTATTCTTTACAGATATTTTATTTCATCGTACGAGTGTCGTTTGCTTTTTTTCTAGTATCGTTTGTCGTACTTCTTATCAATCGCAGCGCATGCTCTGTTCCCTTTGTCTAGTATTGGTTGGCTGCACTAGTATTACCTAGTTAGAAAGTTAGTAGTATTGGTACCTATTATTACCTAGTTAGTGTTGGTACCTAGTATTACCTAATTGGTATTGGTACCTAGTATTACCTAGCTAGTATTGGCACCTAGTATTACCTAGCTAGTATTGGTACCTAGTATTACCTAGCTAGTATTGGCACCTAGTATTACCTATCTACTATTAGTACCAAGCATTACCTAGCTCGTATTGGTACCTAGTATTACCTAGCATGGGTACCTAGTATTACCTAGCTAGTATTGTTACCTAGTATTGCCTAGCTAGTATTGGTACCTAGTATTACCTAGCTAGTATTGGTACCTAGTATTACCTATCTAGTATTGGTACCTAGTATTACCTAGCTAGTGTCGGTACCTAGTATTACCTAGCTAGTATCGGTACCTAGTATTACCTAGGTAGCATGGGTACCTAGTATTACCTAGCTAGTATTGGTACCTAGTATTACCTAGGTAGCATGGGTGCCTAGTATTACCTAGCTAGTATCGGTACCTAGTATTACCTAGGTAGCATGGGTGCCTAGTATTACCTAGCTAGTATTGGTACCTAGTATTACCTAGGTAGCATGGGTGCCTAGTATTACCTAGCTAGTATCGGTACCTAGTATTACCTAGGTAGCATGGGTGCCTAGTATTGCCTAGCTAGTATCGGTACCTAGTATTACCTAGCTAGGATTGGTACCTAATATTACCTAGCTAGTATTGGTACCTAATATTACCTAGCTAGTATTGGTACCTAGTATTACCTAGCTAGTATTGGTAGGTACCTAGTATTACCTATCTGCTATTAGTACCAAGCATTACCTAGCTCGTATTGGTACCTAGTATTACCTAGCTCGTATTGGTACCTAGTATTGCCTAGCTAGTATTGGTACCTAGTATTGCCTAGCTAGTATTGGTACCTAGTATTACCTAGCTAGTATCGGTACCTAGTATTACCTAGGTAGCATGGGTACCTAGTATTACCTAGCTAGTATTGGTACCTACAAGTGCCGTTGTGTACCATGAGAAGAGCTGGCACACTTTCACCGACTGGACATCCGGGGCTACTTTCACTCGCGTAGACTTTCTTCTGTCAACCTTCCCTCCGGTTGAGGCAGAAACGCTCATTCCGTGCGTGTTTCTATTCTTCCTATGCGTAATAAATTGTGGGTTTAACGCCACCAAACTTAGCGAACAAAACAGGTGGACTGCTATTTATGCTAGAGGCACCAGGCATCTAAGAAAGTGTTTTCTATCGAGCATTATTTATACAACATACATTTAGTGCGTTAAATTAAATGTCTGACTTACGGTTAAATATTGCACTTGAGAATAAGGACGAGATAAAAGGTACAGGTTCATGAGACGTCCTGAAAGGAAGTAGTTTAGTATGGAAGTGGTGCGTAGTAGCGATGGTGGTGGCGGAGAGGGAGTACGCAGGACTCCGTCGAAGAGAAGAGGAGGCAGCGCAGCACGCTGGTGGGGGTGCAGGGGAGGCAGCGCAGCACGGTGGCGGGGGGTGCGGGGGAGGCAGCGCAACGCGCTGGGCGCTGGCAGGGGGATGCGCGGAGGCTGAGGCTGCGTAGTATGCTTCCGAAGGGGCTGTGGGGGAGGCAGTACAGCAGGCTGGTGGGGGGTGTACTCAGGCAGGGGGCGGGGGTGCTAGAAGACCGTTATTCGGTACAGCAGGTGCGGCGTGTACACAACAGGTGCCACGTCGCCCTCCTCCTCGCCGCTAGAAAGCGTCGTCGGGAGCACCGAACTGCCGCTGAGGAAGGGGGTAGGGATCTTCTAGTATGGAGGGGTGGGGAGGCGAATGGGAGGGGTTTGAAGGAAATAATGCCAAGGTGTAGGGGAAGAAAAATGAAGAAGTTGAAGGAAATCAATGCTGGAAAGGTCACGGGGAAGAGGAAAGGAGGGGGTTTCAGGAAGTGGTGGAGTGTATGAAACGGGGAATATATGGAGGGAAATACTGATGAGGTAGAAAGGGGGCTTTAAAAAGGGGGTTAAGAGAGGGGTGGAGGAGTGGGGTGGCGGCTGCTAGAAAAGGAGTGGAAAACATTATTGGAGTGGAGAGTGAATAAGGAAGTGATGTGTGGTAGCGATTTGAGACAAGAAGGAGAGGGAGGAAGGGGGAGGGGAGTAAGGGGAGGGAGCGTTATCTATGTAATGTCAATGGACGACCGGTTAATGGGTGTCCGGTTAATGCGAGTAGCATGGCTGTTTTAATGAGGAAAAGACACTATTGGCGGCCATTAATGTTGGGACGACGCGCGACAGTGAGAGATGCTAACTCCTGACCACCATTAGCCATTACCGGTCTCACCCATTACCATACCCTTACCTCATTAGCCATTACCGGTCTCACCCATTACCATACCCTTACCTCATTAGCCATTACCGGTTTCATCCATTACCATACCCTTACCTCATTAGCCATTACCGGTTTCATCCATTACCATACCCTTACCTCAAAAGCCATTACCGGTCTCATCCATTTCCATACCCTTACCTCATTAGCAGCAACACGACTCTCAGCTATCAGTTTCGTGCAGAATTTAATCTATTTGCGATATGTGCTTTAATCCATGATTTGTAAATTACGTATCGTCAATAGCTATTTGGCCGGTAAATTGTAATGAACTTTACTCTCGACAAATTTTTTTTGATGATATTTGGCTCCACGTCTGTATTTGTTCATAATATCTTAAATCAAACATTGGGCTAGAATTTTAGTGTTAAACTTATTTGGTAGCCATTGAGCTAAGTTGTGATTAAGTTCAATTAATATAATTTATTACAATTAACAGAAAAACTCTTACATAAGTTGTCTCTTCCGTGAAAATTTGTAACTTTTGATGATAATTCTAGCTGCTATTCATCAAGTTCTGAACTGATAAGTAATTTGTTTCCGAAAAAATTTTCGATGAAACAATTGGGAATTTACCTGGTGTTTTCTGTGCCCTTTTTTTAAGAATGTATGCAATGCACGAGAATGAATGTATGGCAATATACACGCGTATGCATGCAATGCATGAGAATGTATGTTAATATACACGCGTATGCATGCAATGCACGAGAATGAATGTATGGCAATATACACGCGTATGCATGCAATGCATGAGAATGTATGGCAATATACACGCGTATGCATGCAATGCATGAGAATGTATGGCAATACACGCGTATGCATGCAATGCATGAGAATGTATGCTAGTGTATGCAGAAGGCTGCGTGCGAGGAGACCGTTTACGCGCTGCAGGATCGATGCAGAGCGAGGGTAGAGCGGTAGAATGTAGGTCGCTTGGTGTAGAGGGTAGAGAGGTAGATTGTGGGTCGCTTGGTGTAGAGGGTAGAGAGGTAGAATATAGTACGCTGGGTGTAGACTGTAGAGGGTAGAGAGGTAGATTGTGGGTCGCTTGGTGTAGAGGGTAGAGAGGTGGAATGTAGGTCACCTGGTGCTGAGGGTAGATTTAGGCAGTATGGGGCAGGCAGAGGGTAGATCAGTAGATGTGTAGAGTCGCAAGTCGCGGGTCGCAGAACTAAACTACAACACCGCACTTGGACATGCTTCAAATACGGTAAAATTTTGCCACAACTCAGGCGATGGATGCTTTTCAATTGTTGTTAAACGAGTACCTATATGTATAACAATGTTCACAATTATACTATATAATACTGTTCTTTGACTACACATATAACAATAATCACAGTTATACTATACAATGCTGTTCTTCAACTATACATATAACAATAATCACAATTATACTACCACTATATCTATACAATACTATTATTTGACTACTCGTATAACAATAAGCCCAATTCTACTTTACAGTCAATACTGTTCTTTGCCTACACATATAACAATAAGCACAATTATACTGTACCAAACATGTTTTTCTTCGACTACACATATAACAATAATCACAACTGCCCCCCCATCCCCCCCAGACGCCCCCCAGTCCCCCCGAGGAGGTGCACAAGAGGCTGGAGGAGGTCCGCCTCCTCGAGTCCCGCAAGTCGGCCCGTCTCGCGGACAGCGACACGGACTTCGCGAAGCTCGCGGACGTCGCGACGGACAGAAAACGTCCGCCGGGTGGCCCGTCCTCGGGCCGATCGTCGCCCGCGACGGGCCACCAGCCCGCCAACGTCGGCACGTCGTCCAACATTGACGTGCCAGGGTCGTCCCCTATCCCCATGGGGTGGGTTGTTGTCGTGCTCGTAGGAATAGCATTGTAGAGTTGTGATTGATTTAAATTCTCGTAGGAATTGCGCTGTCTGGTTTTTAGGGATAGAATATTACTTGATAATATTTTTATAAATATACAAATGAAAATAATTTAGCGAATAGGTAATGGGTGATATAGAGGAATATAATTTATACACATAACTCATGTATATGGATAGTATGCATAGTTATGCAGAGATAATTGTTCAGTCATGAGAGAAGAGAATTAAAAAGACGATGTAACCATGACTTTCGGTACGAATATCATTAGGAATGGTATTAATTGTACATTTCTACCGGCATAGAACAATAGCGTGGATTATGTCGAGTAGGAATTCTTGCTTAACTGCGGGTAGGAATGGCATGGAAGTTTTAGCAACCATATTGATGATTTGTATTTACATTTACACGAGACTGCGTTCAAAACAAGATGTTCAGTGATGACGCGCGTCTCTGTGACGCTGTAACTCGTTAGACTCACGTACGTCTGACTCACGTCTGACTCACGTCTGACTCACGTCTGACTCACGTCTGACTCACGTGTGATTCCTGACTCACGTCTGACTCACGGTGATTCCTGACTCACGTCTGACTCACGTCTGACTCACGTCTGACTCACGTTTGACTCACGTCTGACTTACGTCTGACCCACGTCTGACTTACGTCTGACTCACTTTTTTCACACGCTTGTCTCACATTTTACTCACCTTTTACTCACTTTTTATTCACGTTTTTCTCACTTTTTACCCACTTTTTACTCATGTTTGACTCACTTTTTACTCGCATTTTATTCACTTTTTCCTCTCTTTTTACTCACTTTTTCCTCTCTTTTTCCTCTCTTTTTCCTCTCTTTTTCCTCTCTTTTTCCTCACATGTGACTCACTCATGACCCACACACCACAGGTCCCGCAAGCGCCGCAGTTCGCGCTGTGGTGAGGAGGACACGATGGATGAGTGCGCCGCGGCTCTCGTACTCATGAAGCTCTCCTGCTCCCCGCGCTCTGCCTTACTCAGCGAGGGTGAGTAAATACAATATTTATTTATTATGATTAAGTAAAACATGGATATTATTAGTTATACAATGTGTTATGTTATTACTTACTCAGCGAGGGTTAGTTATTTCATTATTTGTTAATTGTGATAAAGTAAATCATGCATATTATTATTTCAGAACTGTGGTTTAAATTATTACTTTATTTGCGTGTTGGTCTGGGGCATCATGTTGAATGTGTTTACGTGTTCCAAAACACAACATTATTAACATTTGTTATACCTTCGCTGTCTTGGTATGAGTGTTGTGATTGCGGCTCATCGGCATCACACTTCAATAATTCATATTTATGTAAATGTTATGCTGCAAAGCAATTTAACATCGCGTATGTGATGAATTTTATGGTGGTGACGTCATCACCGCTGACGCAGTGACGTCATGCGTCATATGACGCAGTGCATAACGAGCTGCCATGATGACGTCAGCAGGTGCACTGCACCGACAGCGATGCAGTGCGTCGTTATCAGCATATCGCAAATCTCGTTATCAGCGTGAAGGGTCGTTGACCTTGCGTACACAGTACAAGGTCACCTGGCATCCCTGCCATGACTCAGGCGCTCGTTTTGTCCTGAGCTGCGAACTGTTCCAAGCCTGGCCATTACAAACCTAACTGAACCACACTTATGGCCTATCCTAACCTAACATTACCTTGCCTAACCTTGCTTAGCTTAACCTTGCCTAGCCAAACCATGCCTAACCTAGCCTATCCAAACCTAACCTTGCCTAACATAGCCTAGCATACCCTAACCTAAGATTGCCTAACCTAAACAAATCTAACCTAGCATAGCCTAATCTAGCTTAACCTAACCATGACTAACTTAACCTTGCCTAGACTATCCTATCCCAGCCCAAGCCCAACAAAACCGAGTATAACTTAATTGAAGTAAACCCATCCTAGTCTATCCTACCTTCCTACTAAACCTTTCCCAGCTTAAGCTGGCCTATCCTATCCTAAACCAGCATAACCAGTCGTAACCTTATCATACCTAACCTAGTCCACTCCAATTAAGCCTTACATTTTATATTACAGTCTTTTTATCATCAATTTTAGGCGATTTGTACCATCCCTCATCTCATTCCGCTTTGCTTCTTCTCTTTCTCTATACCCTATTTGATCCTTGCGCTCGCTCTTTGTAATTAAAAAAATATAACTCAGTACTCACTGCAGTGAGTGACAGAGAGCGCATTTTCTCGTCGACGAAAACTTGAGGTCCCGGACGGACAGATGGACAGACAGACAGACAGACGGACATGGCGAGCACAATAGTGCATTTTTTCCATAAATGAGAAAATGCGCTAAAAATCTTAATTTTCCCTTAACGACCAAGAAATTGCGTGGCATGCTGACGCACTGTTTTGGTGCGCAGTTGCACTTGAATGTTTTCAAGGTAGTTATATTTATGCCTGCAGCTGCAAGGTTCATCACACTTGCCTGCAGCTGCAGGGTTCATCACACTTGCCTGCAGCTGCAGGGTTCATCACACTTGCCTGCAGCTGCTGAGATTGTGATGACGCCGATGCTAGGAAATGCCTGAAATACTTGTCATAAATTCCAGCAGCGAGAATAAATCATTGGTTCTCATGCTGATGGAGAGATTAGTGGTTCTCATGTTTAAGGATAGATAAGTGGTTCTCATGCTGAAGGAGAGATAAGTGGTTCTCATGCTGATGGAGAGATAAGTGGTTCTCATGCTGATGGAGAGATTAGTGGTTCTCATGTTTAAGGATAGATAAGTGGTTCTCATGCTGAAGGAGAGATAAGTGGTTCTCATGCTGATGGAGAGATAAGTGGTTCTCATGCTGATGGAGAGATTAGTGGTTCTCATGCCGAAGGACAGATAAGTGGTTATCATGCTGAAGGACAGATAAGTGGTTATCATGCTGAAGGATAGATAAGTGGTTCTCATGCTGACGGAGAGATTAGTGGTTCTCATGCTGACGGAGAGATTAGTGGTTATCATGCTGAAGGACAGATAAGTGGTTCTCATGCCGAAGGACAGATAAGTAGTTCTCATGTTTAAGGATAGATAAGTGGTTCTCATGCTCAAGGATAGATCAGTGGTTCTCGTGTTGTGTTACACGCACCACTATAGTGGTGCGCTGGAACAGTCCAGTCCACTATTTTTATTTAATTTTTAATGCGAATAATTCAAGTGGTGCATTTACTTATTCCACTTGATATAGCATAGTAAGAAAAATTAATGCGTCTTATTCATGCCAAATATTTATATTTCTGCATTCGCTGAGATTCAGTTTCTGCAGCCTCGAGGAATGCGCCTTCATTTGTCCTGATTTTTTAATACTGAGTTTAGGATAAAACTATATTTCTATAGGGGAAAAAAGTAAGCGTTTGTAACTTGACTATATGAAGGGCATGTTGGTTCGTGGCGACTGTACCCGACCTCCAAGTGGTACTCGATTAGGTACCACTTGGAAAAGTTTAGGGACCACAGGAATATACAGGAACTAGGATATAGGCCGTGTTTCTTCATATTTATTTAAGGGCAAAATGATGGGAAGTCAAGACGTAAAGTTATTTCCTCGGAATGTCCTTATCATAACATCACCGGGTTATCAAACCTCATTTGCCAATCACACATCACATGCCAATCACACATCACATGCCAATCACACATCACATGCCAATCACACCTCATTTGCCAATCACATATCACATGCCAATCACACCTCATCTGCCAATCACACATCACATCGAAACCACACCTCACTTGCCAATCACATATCACATGCCAATCACACCTCATCTGCCAATCACACATCACATCGAAATCACACCTCATTCGCCAATCACACATCACATGCCAATCACACCTCACATGCCAATCACACCTCATTCGCCAATCACATATCACATGCCAATCACACCTCACTTGCCAATCACACATCACATGATATCAGCACCACATTTTGATAACAACATCTACGCGTAAAGTAAAACAATTCAAGCGTCAACAACAACAACAACAATTGCTGCACGATTGTTCAATAATTTGCAACAATTTACTGAGTATCTGATATATACCTGATAAGCCGTTGCTATCAGCTGCTCTGATAGCTGATCAGTGAGCTTTCAAATTTAGTCTCTAAGTTTCTATAGTGCTTTATCAATGACTGTTTTATTATTGTTTTTTGCATTTATGTATAACTTGTCTCAAAATAATAATATAAGGTGATAAAATGAATAAAATGAATAAATATAGAAAAAGTTTCTATAGTGCTTCAGCCATCACAATTTTCATTATTTTTTTTGCATCGGTTACCAAGGGATTCCAATCGGTGCTGCTCCGTGATGAATTTCTTTATATCCATATCATTTTTCTTTATGTATAATTTGTCTCACAATTAATAATAATAGAAGTTGATAAAATTTAGCATTATCTCCTTGTTATCCAGATATCTTAACCTTTATTAATAGGAAAAATCATTTAATTTGCACGCTCCTGATGTGCTACATGTACAATGAAGTTTTACAACTTAAATTGCATCGTACAGTAGTACCGTGCTGAAAAAAAATCTTTATTATAATTTTAGCTTCAAGATTTTTTCAATTTCATCTTGTTTGCCTAAAAAGATAAGACGAAATTTAATTACTCTCTGTACAATGTACAAATAAAGTTTACAAACACTGTACAAGTGTACACCTGATTGTGCACCGATTAAGCTGCACTTGTACAGACTTGTGCTTGTGCAACAAAAAAAAGATGTAAGCGTTCAGCTGTAGCTTTAAGCGAGATAAGGTTATAACAGACGACTCATACTACTTTGTACACAAATGTTCATTCTTGCTTTGACATCAGCTGCAGCATCTGATGTGCTGTTTCATGGCAGCTGACATTCTCAGCTGTAGCTTACAGTTCTAATTGCAGCTGAAGGTCACAGTTGTAGTTGCATCCGACAGTTGCAGTTGCAGCTGACAGTTGCAGCTGAAGGTAGCAGTTGGAGCTGACAGTTGCAGTTGCAGCTGAGAGTTGCAGTTGTGGCTGACAGTTGCAGTTGCAGCTGACAGTTGCAGTTGTGGCTGACAGTTGCAGTTGCAGCTGACAGTTCGTTGACAGTTGTACATGCAGCTGACAGTTGCAGCTGACAGTTGCAGCTGACAGCTGCAGCTGACAGTTCGTTGACACGGCTGTAGCCTGATACGTGGCAGGTCTGCAGCAGATGTACGTATAGAGTTGCATGACGTTAATAATGCTGCCACAAACAGCTGCTTGACTCAACAGCTGCTTGACTCAACAGCTGTTGCTGCTCTCTATCCTCGACTTATGAGCGCGTTTTGGGTGGCCAACGATTAGCCGTATTTTTACTACTGTACGGGATTAAATATTGAACAGAATTTATAGGCGTGGTATCGTTGGCCAGAGCTTAATAAATATTTTTCAGTTCATGTGCATCATTTTTGTTATTGGATTCTATAAGATAAATCGTAATTTTTTACAATTTGGATGTCGTCGCATTTCTTTATAAACCAGCAATTATTTAATAGGATTTCATAAATTTTTTATCCTCGCATTTAAAATATTCTTGTTTATTATTTAACCTAACAATAGGCGACTATTAATAACTTTTGTCTACTATTGATACCAATAAGCTTCACCGTTAAATTAATGTCATGTCACAGTGACAAATGTCTACCGGTAGGCGACATTTTTTCTACCTGGGCCGAGTAGAAAAGGTAGAAATTTGATTCGTTCCGGTAGACCGGCAGCGGTTGATACGCTCCAGCGCGCGTAGATCGTCAGTTTTATGATGTTAGTACACCCAGTAAAATAAATGGCTCATTATCCAAGTAGTTATGCACATTTCGCACTTGTATGGGTCATCCTGACCCAGTTTAACCCGGCAAAAGAATGTATCAGTGCTACGTCCGCTAATTGTTCGTTCTGAGGGTAAAAAAGTGTTTCACAACTTAGACAAGGTGATTCATTCATTTTTCTTAGTGTATGAATTGTGCAGTGGAACTAGCGGACGCGGACGTGTTGTTTTATACTGGAAAACACGTTATATTTTTTGCTAGAAAATACTATACGTTTCTAGTGTTTTTTTTTTGTATGGAAATGATTAATTTTCACTAGAAATTCCTTGTTTTTTCATGCGTGAATTTTCATACTAAGAATTTTTCATTGCCTTGTAGTGGCAATTCATAGTTTTTTTACTGGAGAAAAACGGAGAATTTTTTCGGAGAAAATTTTTGATGTTTCGCTTTAGTTTTAATTTCATTTCTGGAAATACAGATAAGCTTTCTTGCTTCCTCCCTCTCCCCTTCTATTACCTCTCCGATACACCCCCCCTCCCCTACTTCTCTTTCTTCCCCTGCTCCCTCTCTCCCCTCCCTCTCACCCCTCCCTCCCTCTCTCCCCTCCCTCTCACTCTCCCAGATCCCCCAAACACCACCGCTCAGTTCGGGGCAATGTCCTGGGCTCATAGCTTGTTCACTGCCTGCCTCTTTTCTCCTATTCCATTTCTCCCCTTCTCTTTATCACCTTCTTTCTTCACACTTTCCCTCCCTTCAGTGCTCCCATCTCCCCTTTCTCACCCCCACTCTCCCATCCTCCCTCCGGTATGGAAGAGGGGGTGTGGCGGTAACGGCGCTCCGTTACCACCGCCACGTCACGCGTAAATCAACAGGCAATAACGGCGCTGCAATAACAGTTAATAATGGCGCTGCAATAACACTAAACAGTCAATAACGGCCATGCAATAACAGGGAATAACAGGCAATAACGGCGCTGCAATAACAGACAATAACTGTAACTGTAATGCAGTAGTTTGACGCGTTATGAGATGTTATTTTATTTTTCAATATGTTGTAATTTCCTCCCTTTCACTCACCCACTCCACACTCCCCCACTCACCCCTCAGCCACCTTCCCACCCTTTCACCCACTTAACACTCACCCACTCACCCCTCAGCCACCTTCCCACCCTTTCACCCACTCCACACTCCCCCACTCACCCCTCTCTTCCGTGACGCTGGTAACGGTGTTCTCGCAAGGCTCCTGAATGCGTTCACGTGTACCGGCTCATTCATGAATAATTCATGAGGGTGAGTTACACAACTCATACACAGCCCATACAGCAGCTGATCTATTCAGATGAATGCGCTGCTGGTGACGTCACATCACAGCCGCGGGGACTGTGATGACCTCTGCTGCACTGCAGTGTGATGAACTCACATGTTGCTCCATGTTACTCCATGTTGCTCCATGTTACTCCATGTTCCCAAATGTTGCTCCATGTTCCCACATGTTGCTCCATGTTACTTCATGTTCCCACATGTTACTCCATGTTCCCACATGTTGCTACATGTTACTCCACGTTCCCACATGTTGCTCCATGTTACGAAACGTTACTTCATGTTACTCCATGCTACTAAACGATATACTACTTGTTTCTACAAGTTAATCCAGGTTTTCATTAATGTAAATCCATTTTAGTACAAATTCCCATAGCTTACTCCATGTAACTCCATGTTCCTACACGTTTCTACATGTTCTCCATGTTCAGAAACGTTTCTACATGTTCGTAAACCTTCATCGTTTTATGCCAGCGTTATACCGAGTGACGTTACACATATAACGCCTTCAAGTGCTGCTAAAGTTCAGTCAGATTGTCTTTATTTACGCCTCAATCACGAACCTGAACTCGATGTGACCAATCTTTTAATGCTATTCATATTGCAACTGCTGAAGAATGAAATCAAACTAAAAATATGAGATTATTAAACTACAATTAAAGTATGTAACAACTAAACAGAAGAACAAAGTAAGCCTTCTAAATTATTTTTTGATTCGAATGATATCTGTTGCAGTCTTCGTTTCATTGCTGTGTGTTATTCTTACCTGAAAAGTAAATATTTATCGTAGACCCTTCATGACCATCATGATCATTTTCGTCATAATGGTATTCCTACCTGTACAGTGAATTTCGTAATGCATGCAGGATGAGACTATAGCACATTTAATCAAGCATCGTTTGTCCGGATATAGCTTGAACTTTCGCGTAAATTGACTTGAACCACGCGAATATTTCTGTGAATCTAGATTATAGTTTAAATTCTTATAAACCGAAATTGGTGTATCTGGAAAAGGAATAGTATTGATTTAACCAATCATAATGTGGAATATGGACACATTGTTTCGGCCAGTCACTGTTCGCAAGAGTCCACACACCAGGGCCTATACTTTAATAAAAAAAATTAATAGATCGTAAGTTCATCAGCCAATCATTGACGGCCTTTCAAGCAAAGTCCACCAGTCATAGACAAGAAAATAGAGCGTAAGTACTTACGCTAACTTAACGAGTTTTGACAGTTTGGCCGGGCCGGTTCGGAGGATACGCATTGCGCAAGCAGGATGCACATGTGCGTATAGATTTTATGTGCGTAAGTTGGCAGTAAAAACTCCTCGTGACTTCAAGTGACGTGCTTGAATATATGGCGTCTGGATATGCATTTATTTTGCAGCGTACGCTATAGTGTATGCCACATATATCTTGTATGTATGGAAAGCATTGAAGTATTTTTATTGAAATTAATAAGCAATAGATTAGAAATGAGTTTGGAAAACAAGCATCAAGACAATTCTAATGCGTAAGGACGGTGTTGAAATAAACTCTTTCTACATAGTAGGATACATTTTTACCTAGTAGGATACACTTCTACTTGGTAGGATACACTTCTATATACTAGGATACACTTCTACTTGGTAGGATATTCATATTTGGTATAATTTACACCTAATCGTACCATCAGTCACTTGATGGTATACAGACTACTTATAAATAGAAGGATGCGGTATGCATGAGTAAGCAGCGCAGGGATGAGTAACCGCGACGCCGGAGACCGGCACAAAGACCGACGCTGCCACGCCGCTACCGGGGTGGTCTGCCGTGTACGTGATACTGTCGTGTACGTGATACTGCCGTGTACGCAATACTGCCGTGTACGCAATACTGCCGTGTACGCAATACTGCCGTGTACGCAATACTGCCGTGTACGCAATACTGCCGTGTACGTGATACTGTCGTGTACGCAATACTACCGTGTACGCAATACTGCCTGTGTACGCAATACTGCCGTGTACGTCATACTGCCGTGTGCGTGATACTGCCGTGTACGCGGCATGATCGTTTGCGATATCGCCGCTCCGTCACCCGAACGTTCTCACTAAATTTCCGTGCCAGTAGAGCATGTGCGTGTTATGCTCTCATGTACATGCTTTACTCTCCTGTACGGGTTTTGCTCTCATGTATGTGTTTTGCTCTCATGAACGCGTTTTGCTCTCATGTACGTGTTTTGCTCTCGTGCATGTGTTTTGCTCTCATGAACGCGTTTTGCTCTCATGTACGTGTTTTGCTCTCGTGCATGTGTTTTGCTCTCATGAACGCGTTTTGCTCTCATGTACGTGTTTTGCTCTCGTGTACGTCATAATATCGTTGCACTGACGCACACACTAACGTTAACGTCCCCCCCCCCGCAGCTCTGGTGACGTACGACGTGGCTGGCAACGCTTCGTCCACATCATCGTCAGGCGTGTGGTCCTGGGCACCACACCACAACTCACCATACTCACCACACCACAACTCACCACTCTCACCACACCACAATGTGGGGAGGTCTGCCACCCCCTCACCCCCCCTCTCTGACCCCTCACCCGCCCCCACCGACGACGGCATCGAACTCGACGACTCGTCGGGACACGAAGACGAGTCGGCACCCAGGAAACGTAGGGGGAGTGGCACCTGGGCTGGGGGAGTGGCACCTGGGCTGGGGGAGTGGCACCTGGGCTGGGGGAGTGGCACCTGGGCTGGGGGAGTGTCACCTGGGCTGGGGGAGTGTCACCTGGGCTGGGGGAGTGTCACCTGGGCTGGGGGAGCGTCAGCTGGGCCAATTGATAGACAGAGGGAGTGCCGGCTGCTGGACAGGTGGGTAGAGGAAGTGCCAACTGAGTATGGAAAGTGCCACCTGGACAGTCAGAGTGCCGGCAGTCAGTCTAGGGAAGTGCCACATGGCAGGGCCACCTGGCAGAGCAGGAGCCATCTGGACAGGGCTAGTGCCAGCTGCTGGAACGTTGGGGGTATTTAGCGTATTTGTATGCGTATGTTTTGTTGTTCAATATTTAGCGTATTTGGATGCAAGTTTCGTTGTTCAATTATTCGTATTTTGATGTATATCTTTTTACCTACATACGCCCCGGTAAGTTAGTATCCACGAAATATGTACCTTGGTATGTGTTCTGTTGCTCCACACAAAAGACATATTCATGTATTTTGTTATACGTTTTGTCGCACGGCGAGTTTTCCATCTTTTAAGCAACATCGGCTGCGATTTATTGTTTAAATTTGTCCCCATTTTTCAATCATCCCAATTTGCCCTGACAAAGGATGGCTCGTTAACTGTTGATGTAAAGAATTTTTCACATAATATCCTTCCGGTTCATTTTGCACTTTCCAAACGAACACAAGTTTCCTTTAAATGATACCATAAAAAGTGGGAAAACGGAAAAATGACGAATTTCAACGCGATCTAAATTTTAATCGTATTTAAATATCTAACTTTAAATCGTGTCTAAATATGTAACTTTTAAGCGTATCTGCATATCTAAATTTTAATCCTATCTAAATATGTAGTTTTTAAATCGTATCCACATATTTAATTTTAAATCGCATACAAATTTGTACCGTTTCACATCGTCCGTGTTATGACGTTTACCAGACATGAACATAATATCAAAAAGGTCCATACGTTTGTCCCTGAACGTTATTATACTTATTATATAACTTATTACTTAATAACTGTAAAAGAACGAGTACAAGCATGACTCATCGGAAGTATATAGTGCAACACTTGCACACTTTATTTATATCATTTCGTGATAACAAAACTTTACAACCTTTCATTATTTTTATGATTTTGTAATAGTCTTATTTTACTAGCCTTCTTTAGTGTATATCATGTCGTAATTATCTTATTTACCGTAGGCTTCATTAAGTTTTATGAAGAGTTATATTTCTTCTATTAGGTATTTATTAGCAAGAATAGCATTACCTTCACCTAATGTGTCCAAGTTGTTCAACAACAAAAAAGACATCAATACGGACCAGCTAAACTAAAATTAAGTGCGTGCGAGTATTCTTGGAAAGATTTTATTTGAGTTTTCCTGTATCGGGAGTTGTTATCGCGTGTCTTATCGCTGCTCTGATTTACTGATAAGGAACTGCCGTGTCGATTATCACACGTGCGTCATCAGGGCAACCGCGTGTGAAGTGCAGTAGGGTTTTTTGGCAGGGTTAGGGTTCGTTCTGGGGGAAGGGTTCTAGTATGGTGAAAGGTTCAATTTGCAAAGGGTTAAGGGTTCGCTCGTGGGCCAGGGTTAGGGTGGCACTTGACTTCAACTTGAAGGTTTATTTAACCCCAGGTCGAGGGTTCATACGAAACCAGGTTAAGGGTTCATTTGACCCTAGGTTAAGGGTTCATTTGACCCCAGGTTAAGGGTTCATTCGACCCCATGTTAAGGGTTCATTTGACCCCAGGTTAAGGGTTCATTTGACCCCAGGATAAGGGTTCATTTGACCCCCACGTTAAGGGTTCATTTTACCCTAGGTTAAGGGTTCATTTGACCCCATGTTAAGGGTTCATTTGACCCCCACGTTAAGGGTTCATTTGACCCCAGGTTAAGGGTTCATTTGACCCCATGTTAAGGGTTCATTTGACCCCAGGGTAAGAGTTCATTTGACCCCAGGCTAAGGGCTCAGTAGTGGCCATGGAAGGGTTGCCGGCCCCCGGCTGTCTGTTCACATCAGACGCTGATAAGCAAGGTTATCAGTGCAGCGCTTATCAGTGGCTGCAATAAATCTTGTATCACTTCTTAACGCTGCACGATGAACTTCTTTATCAACTTGAAAACAACCAATATGCAAGCAATACTATCTGTATATAGTTCTCTATAAACTCTATATTTCATTCTACAGTATATCAGTTTCATCATGATCACGTACACAAATTTATCGCGAAGTATTCGATTTCAAAATAATATTTGTATTTATTTCACATTTCCTTGTTTATTTTAATTTTATCATCAGTTATCATCGTGGTGTTCAAATTAGGACAAACTTTTTGTACGTACCACTGATAAGACCTTTTGCTAACGAAGACTCGCATACGGACAAAAATGGCATCGCTATTTGAACAAAGTTACATTGAATTTTCTGAGTGGAGGTAATGTAGCTGAAACATGAATAGCCATGACACACTTATACAATTGACGAATCCTTGACACACTTATACAATTGACACAACCTTGACACACTTATAGAACTTTAAGAACTCTATGAACAGCTACAGCGTCTCATAGATACTCACTAAATCACCAAAAATCTTCTAAATAATTAATTTGCAATTAAATTAACAAGCGCACCGTCTGATAGCTGACACATATGCCAGTTATGACCCACTTTACGCGCCACAGTCGGACACGGTTATCTGACGTGAATAATGGTGCTGAACATCACCAGGTCATACGGGTGATGAACTGGTGGTGATGTGATGAATTTATACGTTGTGATGTGTTAACGTGATGACATGTGATGTGGTGACGTAATACGTGGTGGCGACACGTTACGTGGTGATGTGATGAGGTGGTGACGTGGTGATGTGATGAGGGGGTGATGTGATGAGGTGGTGACGTGGCGATGTGGTGACGTGGCAATGTGATGTGATAGTGATGTGATAAAATGGTGACGTGGCAATGTGATGAGGTGGTGACGTGGCGATGTGGTGACGTGTCAATGTGATGAGGTGGTGACGTGGCGATGTGGTGACGTGGCAATGTGATGAGGTGGTGACGTGATGACGTAGTATCATGGGTCGTTGTCACCGTCATCGCATTTCCTGTGGAAACTGCGTATCCTGCGTATCCTGCATGGCAGCCAAATGCCGTCCTAGATTCCCTCTAGGCTGACCTGTGCCCTAGAACATCCTAGATTATACATTATATATATTATCGTTCATCGAACATTATACATATAGTTTTTTATTCGTGTACTATATATGGTTGTGGCTTATATTGACACGTCTAGAAATAAGTGTCCTTAATAAGGTCTTGAACGTATCTTTAGCATTTAATAACTTCTTAAATATATATTACTTTTAATAGGTTTTTCAGTGTATTCTATATCTTTAATAAGTTATTGAATTTATCTCTCATCTTTAATAATTTATTGTATCCCTAGAGATTGTTCGCTGATGCTCCGTAGGCCTACTTCCTAGCCTATTGCTGGGGCGAAAGATTTGCCCTATAGGCTGTACGGCGCTGTTATGGTCGCTGCCATCTTATGCATAAGCCTAAGAAATACTCCTACATTTCTATATATTATCGCCTTAACCCTTTTTTATGAGATAACCCTTATTTATTAGCCAGCCCTTACACATTGAAGAAAATCGTTCACTTCGAAATATATATAGCCCTATCGCTTGGCCAATCCGTACTCGGAGGGCCAATCCGTCTACATTGGCTTACCCTTTATAATTGGCCAATTATTTCTAAATTTGCCAACACTTCTACATCGGCTAATCCATTCCCATTGGTCAATCCTTTTTAATGCCAATCCTTTCCCATTGGCCAATCCTTTCCCATTGCCAATCCTTTCCCAATGTCAATCCTTTCCCAATGCCAATCCTTTCCCAATGGCCAATCCTTTCCCAACGGCTAGTCTTTCGTAGGAACCCCTTCCTGTTCAGGATATTCCCTTGTTGATCAGTAAGAGCCTGTAAGGGATCAGGGGTACTCAGGAGACTATGAATGGCGTGAATAAGTGAATAGCTTTGGTCCTATATATATAGAGTCACTAATTTACTTCATGGTAGAAAGTAGAATTGACTTGCTGCTGTGGTATTTTTAGAGTAGAATATGGTTGCTAAGGATATATTTTCAGAATACTATAGTTACTGGACTGTAATGTGAAAGTATACCCCGTATGAACACCGGCCATACGGTGGCCACCCGTATGCCGGCCGTACGTGGGTCACCCGTACGCTGGCCGTACGTTGGCCACCCGTACGCCGGCCGTACGTTGGCCACCCATACGCCGGTCATACATTAGCTACCCGAAAGCCGGCCGTAAATTGGCCACCCATACGCCGGCCATAATTTGTTGCAGTGTCTCGTAGAGCAAGAGACAGCGGAAACACGGTGGAAAAACTGCTTCTTTTTAATCTAATGGGACGAAGTTATTCGTTATTAGAACTGCTTCGTTCTAATAACCCGTTGCCGGTCATTTCATCATATAATTTATTATTTTACCTGAATAATTTATTCATTTATTAGTAAATAAAAATATTGTTATTGGTTAGTTAGAACATGTTGCTTATTTTTGGGTACATAATTTTATCATCAATACGTGAATATGTTACTGAATAATGGTTAGTTAACACGTGTTTCTTCTTTTTAAAATTTTGAAGGTTTTTAATTTAATTATATATGAATTAGGCTATAGTGATGGTCAATTATTGTAAAATTGGTTGATTTTAACTAGATTCTCGATTTTATTATTTCAGCTGAATAGATGTACTTAACAAAGGTCATCATCAGCATCACAATTACATATACTTTATTCAATTTGAACCACGGTAGGTAAAATGAAATTTTTTAATTAAATACCTACCTTTAATTAAATGGAAGTTCTCTAATTAAATACATCTACCACCTGCTCACCAAGTTGATTTCAGATGCATTTTTTCCCATTCATATCCCATCCCATTTTCCCATTCTTATCCCATCCCATTTTCCCATTCTTATCCCATCCCATTTTCCCATTCTTATCCCATCCCATTTTCCCATTCTTATCCCATCCCATTTTCCCATCCCCTGAGTCAGGAGATGTAGGTAGCCATAATTATTAACCAAGGTACCTATAACAAACCTCATCACTCGCTCAAAAGTACGTGATTGATAATAAAATTAAATATTAAGCTTAAGTATTATTGAGGTACTGCAATTTACTCACGTGACATATATAACTTACTACTTTGCTGGGTCAACGGAGACGCATGAGTCACCGCTTGGAACGCGTTACAAACCGGCGTTG